GCTGGCCCATAGGGCACTCCTGGTGGAGATGCCCCAGTGCCTGGCATTGAAAGCAGCTGTTTTTCTCATTGAGTAATGCATTTTCTACAGGGTTCCTTGGAAGGGGACCATAAAGGATCCCTTCTGCCCTTGTGCCTCCCACCCAGGCAGATGGTGATTTGACAGCAGAAGGATTACACATGGCAGTCTGGGGTCCCAGTAGCCAAGCAGGAGAGTGATGGCTGGGAACGTGACTTTCCCCAGGCTGAAGAGGGGAAGCATAAAGGTCACATTGGCAGTGTTTGGAGCTCCACACCCCCTTGGTGCTCATGCCCTATGAGAAGAATGTAACTACCCCCAACACCACCAAGAGATCCCCTTCTCCGCCGTCTCTTGGGCGGAAAAACAGCCCTGCCAGAGGCTGCCACAATTTTTTCACAACCTGTAACAGCATGCATACATGTTTCGATGTGGGGTGCCTCAGAAACGAGGTGGCAGCATACTCTGTGCTGCCTGGTGGTGGTAGGGGAGGTGCCCTGATTGCCTGAGGTAGTATGGGCACAGGCTGGAGAGCTGCAGATTTCCCCTGTAGCTGTGTAAACATGGCTGTGGCTGCTCCTATGTGGCTGTGGCTTCCTCCTGTTGCTCTGGTTGCAGGTTCCCTGTCCCTCCAACTTCCCCTTCCATACCCCAGGGGGTGAGACAGAGTGATGGAGTGCAGCTTGGCATAGCCTAAGGTACTAGGGGAGCCTGCAGCCCAGGGTGTCTGAAAGGCATGATGCAGATGGGGAGCCTAGGGTGAGGCATGCCATGTGGTACAGCAGGTGGTTGCAGGGGTTTGATACATTGTGAGGCTGCTGGGTGTGTAGTGAAGGAGGGCGATCAGGTGGTGTGTGGCTCTGGGGGCCTTCCCCAGGCATACATAGTGGCCTACCTGTTCCCCTTCAGCCACTTACCTGCCTTGCATCTCAAACAAAAACATAACTCGTCTCAGTGTGAGACTCTCTGCAGAGCTCCTCCTCCAAGGATCTGGGCTCAAATGCTCTTTTTAGCTCAGGAGCTACATTTACATAGCCCTGGGCTCTACCTCTTCCAGTCACATGACCTCTGGTTCTTAGTCAGACAAAGGGGTTTTTCGCTGGCCTTATTGGTAGGGTTACTGCCCTTCAGTCTGCCTCCCTGCAGACTGCCCACTAAACTTTCCTCAGCACCTTAACTCTGGTGCTTCTCTCTCTTAAGTAACAGGGGTTAGGGGTCCCTTTTACATAATCTTCTTTATCAGGGTTGTACAGCCAGTGGCCCATGAGGGTGTAACTGTGGCCCCAGGGTCTGCCTGGCCACTGTTCCCTTCTTTTTTCTGGCTGCTGCTGCATTTGGGATCTCCAGGTTCCCCTCCTCTTTTCTGGCTTTTATTTCTTGCCCCTGCCACAGGAGCCAAGGAGGTACGTGTGTGGGGAGGTGGAGGAGGACTGGGGGATGGTCCCTGCTGCTCTGCTGGACTCTTCCCAATCTATCCACATCCTTCTTGAAGCGTGAGGACCAAACCTGATCATAGTTCTCCAAGTGAGGCCTCACTGGTGCCAAATAGAGCAGAAGAATAACCCCCCCACCCAACATTGATTTGTAAGGGATGCTTCTGTTAATACAACATAGTAGGTTGTTGGCCTTTTTTGTGATGAGCACACTGTAGGCCACTGTAACCATTCATCTTCTGGCCTAATGTAACTTCCAGCTCCTTCTCTGCAGTACTGTAGCCTAGCTAATCATTCCCCGGTCTGATTTTGTAAATGTAATTATTCTTTCTGAAATGCAGGACTTTGTACTTGTTTTTACTAAATGTTGTCTGGTTAATTTTGGACCATATCTTCAGTTTATCATGGTCATCCTGGATGTTAGCTGTGCCCTCCGAGTGTCTGCAGCTCCACCCAACTTCATGTCATCCACAAACTTGCTAAGTTTGCACTCAATCCCATCATCTATTAATGAAGATGTATATACCAGACCTAGGACGATCCTGGGGGAACTCCTCTTAATACCTCCACCTAACTAGACATTGAGCCATTGAAAATTATGCTGATTACATGATTCAGAAGTAACATTTAAAGTTTTAATTCTTACATACAAGAACTTAAACTTCTAGCTACTGAGAAATGACAGTGAGTATAAATTCCTACTGGTATACTGTCTGGGATCTGGAAGATCTGCAGGGGATGGAGGGATCCATTTGTCAGCCTGACTTGTTGTTCTGGGAGGTCTGCTGCTTGCTTGGAGCCTGGATCCGAGATGTCATGGATGGATTACTGAAACTCATCTGAACCTCTGACTGCTACCCCATACTGCTCATCCATGTGTACACCAGTGCACACCAATCCATGGGTGACCCTGAGCAGATCAGGAGTGATTACAGGGCTCTGGGTGAAAAGGTGAAGGAGATGGGGGCACAGGTGGTGTTCTCAATCCTTCTGGTCAAGCGGAAGGGCCCTGGCAGGAGCGGACACATCCTGCAGTTCAGTGCATGGCTGCACAGGTGGCGTTGCCAACAGAGATTTGGCTTCTTCAACCATGGGATGTTATTCCAAGAAGAAAGCTTGCTAGGTAGAGATGGGATCCACCCGATGAAGAGAGGGAAAAGCTTCTTTGCAGACAGACTTGCTAACCTAGTGAGGAGGGCTTTAAAAACTGTTCACCAGGGGATGGAAAACAAAGCCCTGAGGTAAGTGGAGAAGCGGGGTCCTGGAAGAAGCAGAAGGGGCCCCAGTGGGGAGCAGGGCAGGGCCACAGATGGCTCGTCTGGGGGAGGGCTCCGCACTGCTCTCCTGCATGTGCTGCTGCTTTGAGGGGTGCAACCGCATGCTGCTGCTCTTACTGCAGCCCTGTGCGCAGGAGGCACATCACCAGGGCAGTGCAGAGCTTGCAGCAGCGGCAAGGAGATCTCCATGTGGCCCTGCTGCTCCCTGCCGTGCCAGGTCATGCCCGCTGGGCTGTGGAGGCCCTGGGGGGAGAGAAGTAGGGCAGGAGCCCAAGTCCGCAGCCTGCATCTGCCCCGCGTACAGATCTGGGGGGCATGGGTCCCTCCTGCCCCCCAAGAGTATGCGTGGCAGCAGGGAGCCAGCCCTTCCCCCCTCCTGGACAAGCCATCTGCAGACCTGTCCTGTTTCCCGCTTAGGCCTTGCAGCCGCACATTGTAGCCCCAAGCCTAAGCACCACCCAGCTGGGCAGCAGCCCCAGCCCTGCCCAGCTCCCTCCCTACAGGGCCCTCAATCCCTCTCTCCACTCCACATACCTGCTGGAGCTGCTGTGCAGGCTGCCTGGGGCCACGCGCATGTACATGAGGATTTGTTAATTGAGGTATTACTGTATTCTGAGAGCGCTCAGGATGTGCCATGTGAAGCTAGATATGATTGGCAGGAGAGAAGAGAAAAACATATATTCTCCAAGACATGTGTTTTCAAATATACTCAGTACCTAGTAGCTGTGACTGAAGTAGAAAATGCTGCTGGGAGATCTGTTGGCAAATGTAGCCCTACCTCTGCAGCTTTTTGTCAGTGCTTGCTCTGGTTCAGCAATGCAGTTTATTGGATACAGATTCATATCAATGTAATGTCTTCCTAAAGGTTGTCCTGGTTCATCATTTCATTTAATACTTTGTTTTTGCATCTGTCATTTTTAGGCATACAGTGGAAAAATGTGTTTTTTAGCAGCCTTAGGATCTTCAAATTGTTACTGTAGGCTGTAGATGAGTTGGTCATTGGTTTCATTGTCAGATGTTAAGCTAAGTTTCTTAAAATCCTGTTCACTGTTGGTTTAAAATGTGTCAATAATTGCTAGATGTTGGTCCTTTTGATGACTGGCATATTCTCTTTAGAGATGTAGTTTAACCAAAGAATAAATTAAAGGTCAGAAATACAGTCCATTCCACAACAAATGCAAAATTGTTGATTTAATCAGTACTCCTGTGACACTTTTAAATGCTGTTTTATTGAAACGTTCATATAATGTGATTCTTTACTTAGATCTTTTATTTCTTTCTTGTTTAAGTATTTGTGAATGAAGTATTTAAATCATTAAATTTGTGTGGTATGTACACTGACATGAAAACTGGTGGTGGTTGCATCCTCTAGTTATGCATTCCAAAGAAATTTTTTTGAGGAAACATAACATTTACAGAGGTCTCCTCTACATGTTATCTCTATTATGCAATTATCTGGTTAATTGCACAATATATTTAGATTGACTACATGTGCAAATTAACTATGATGCCTTAAAAAGGTCAACCCAGCTATAAAGTTATTGCTCAAAAATGTGTATTAACTTGTTTTTTATCTAGCTTTCATTTGTATGTGTAGGCAGTCCCTCTACCTGTATAGGCAGGTAGATAACAGCTGCTGGTGCCTCCTAGCCACTGTGATGCACAATACGCTCCCCAGGGCTGGGAGATCACAGTGGCTGGGAGATCACAGCAGTCCCTTGTGGCTGCCGTAGCTGAGGGTCCCGCAGCTTATGGGACTTTCAGCCCTGGCTGCATGTGGGGTGCAGTGAGGACCGAGAGTCCTACAGCTGCGGGGACTTCTGGCCCTAGCTGGATGAGGGCAATTGTGGATGCTGGGTCCTGGCAGTGCCCCATAGCCTCCCAGCTGCAGGGGTGCATGGGGCACTCCCATGACTTGGAGCCTTACCAGCAGAGGAGGCTCCCAGTCATGGAACCCTGCTTCTTGCCAGGGCAGGGGCAGCCCAGGATCAGGCTCCTCTTGCACTGGCAGTAAGACATGGTGGGACCTAATACACAATCCCAAATCAGCACATGTGGCATGGCAGGAGGTGCGATTGTGTGGATCGTGCATTAGATCCTATTATGCCTTTACCTGCATGTGTACAGGGGGCCTTAGAAATGTGACACCAATTTATGGAAATTAATCAGTTACGTGAAGTGATGGTGCAGTACTGGCTTTCTTTTGTTCAGCCAGACTCTTGCTGACAAGATAATTTTTGCTTGCTCTTCTACTTCTGGACTTTACTTGCAGGTTTTCCAGCTTGCTGCACATCTTGTTTATTGGGGAAAAGCAATTATCATCTATCCACTGTGTGAAAACAATGTCTATATGCTGTCCCCCAATGCCAGTGTTTGTCTGTAAGTAGAGACTACAACTTCCTATGCTGAGTTCGCTTTATAAAATGGAAATATGGTCTCCATTTGTGAATTTGTTGAGATTGTACAGTGTGCAGATTGCACCTGTTGCCTAAATGCCAGCAGCTCTGAAGAGCTACTCAGAATATAGAGAAAGAGTAGAGGAGTTGATCAGCCTATTCTTGGTTTACATTTGCATACCTATAAAATCCCAGTTTGGATAACCAGTTTTAAGAACTCAGAACAGTGTAGTTACCATTACATTGCTTTATAGGGAGGCACATTTTTTGAACATTTAGTGTACTTGGTTGGTTAATGAGTGTCTGTCCAAGAAAGAACTGCGTGAAATCAAAACAGTATTGGAACAGTGAAAAAGCAAGCAGACACGTTGCTAAGTCCTGTATGGTAGTGGCTACCTGCTTTTGATAGGCTTCCTGAGGGAGACTCCTGAAGTGAGGTTTTGGGCCTGGTGCAGTGATTTGGGTGGCTCTGCGTAGTAGCACCCCCTCCTGCACCACATCTCTCATTTCAGAGCCCAAACTAAAAACCTTAACTCAGATGTGGTAATATTAACTCAGGTGTAGCAATGATTGACAGTGAAGTATTGGAGGCATTGTCAAAGCACTTAAGGCTAGATGTGCATTTAACTATAATGATTGCATGACTAGTGACACAATAACTTTCATGTGTTGTGTTATATGTGAAGATGTGCCACTCCTTTTCTAAATCCTAGAGCTGCCCACGTATGAGATGCTTTGCCCTTCTGTATGTAGAGATTGTGAAATGAAATATTGCTTTGTTTTGGTTTTTGTTTAAATCTGTAAGTATAGATTATAGGAAAATAAAGTGATGGTCAAAACCGCTTTGATTAAAATAAAAAGAAGTTTTCTGTGGCAGAACCAAATGCCAACATTAATGTGTTTATTTTTCCTATTATTTCATCAGGATACTAGGTGCCATAAACCAGGGCTTGTCAACCAGGGGTACACGTACCACCCCGTGCTGCTGTCGCTTCACATCCAGCCTTGTGCTGCCCCCC